TCCGTATTTTTCTGTTGTTCTTCATTGTTCAAAAAACTTTTTATCATTGTAACAGTTTTTTAATCTCGTAGTGTTTACTTTGATATGATCCAAACAATTTGTTCGATTTTCAAACAAGAAACTACAAGTGACACCGTAAAGACATATAGGACTACAAGAGATCCATATAGCGCTTATAAATTCGTTTTTTACGGACCATCCGAGAAATCAGACATACTGATTAGCGACAATTGTTGCAAATTTATATAAGTAAATAGGCTGAATAAGGCGTTTAAATTCACCAGAATATAATTATTCAATCTAATACAGCAAAATTAAATAAGCTGTTCTCCTTGACAGTCAAATCTAAATGATAATGAGATTAAAACAGCCTGACAATCGAAGCGTTTTTAGATATTATGCATGCCATCTACAAAAGATAGTCCGTTCTTAAGGTATGCTTATCTTTCTCGAGATTTTTAAGTGCACTCGTTCGAGTTTTGAGATAAATTTAAATTGTCGCACAAAAGATAAATATGAAAATATACGCATTTGGAAAAAAGCGCTCTGAACAGGGTGCAGCTTAAGTGTATATGCATGCTAACATTATTGGCAACTGCACATTTAAAACGCTTTGTTAATATATTTACATAATTTAAGATAATTTTTGTTTCAATTAGTGCAGTCAGTTGCGGTTTTTCAGCTAACTTTACTTTAAACCAATCAGAACTAGTGTTCAATGCCATCCAGAATAATCTATTGATGCTGGAACAGCGAAATCCCTACAAAGTCCTAGTGGGTATTTTATTGATTCGGGCCCGGATTTCGCTGCGTGTAGCTTTATTTTTTTTTGTAGAAATTTACAAGTTCTTTTCTGAGCCAAGGGAATTTAGTTCCCTGCAGGTAAATCTCAAAGTAAACGAATAGAACATCATTCGGCTAGGGAACATCTTATTGTGCTTATTTCAGTTTCTTTACATTCAGGCAGACAACAAAACCTTTAATATTTTCTACTGTGGTGCACATTTTTAGTCGCGATTTATTAAATTAGAATTTTTTTCATTTACTCTCGAGGTACGCTAATTCAAACAAAAAAGAACTGGGACAGACGTGCAGGTCTTTCGAAAAAGGACGAAATGCCGGGCATCATAACCGTTCTCTTTGGGGTTTTCACTGTCTAGCAAGCATGCAATTTAACTTTTAATGGAGTTCATCTCCCCTGCCTCATTAGTCATGTCACATGCCTTTGTCAGAGCACAGTAACTACATGGCGTTAACTAATTCACACTCAGAGCTTTACAGACTCAGACATGGGTGAAAATGAGCCAATATTCCGGCTGTGCTATAATATTAATATACAAAAAACAACAAAAAAAAACGATTGTCCCGCTGATAAAATTCCAATTTTAATAAAGTTTATTCGATTATTACAACTGTGTATTGTTCCTGCCCGCTATTAAAATGCAATTGATTAGACAAGAATTGATTAGCTTTGTTTTTCCTAAATTAAAGGTGACGTTCTCACTCAAATAACTCACCCGATTTCTTCCAACTAATAATAAAAATTATAATTGGTCTGTTACTTTACGAGTTATGCTAATGCCGATCAAATCTATTCAGCATATGAAATACATTATTAAGCATAATCAAAACGAATTAAAAAGTTGCCTGCTCAGAGCAGAAAAAATCCATTAAAGTCATTACACTGATTAAATTCTTTAATTTCAGCATTTCAGCCATATTTCGTCTTAATACACTATTGTAAAACCTTGATAAAAGAGTTTCATGATAGGTTAAGTAATTCAGCACGAAAACAGTTCTCAATATTAACAAATTATGAATGCATAGTTTGAACTTTAATAATAATTGCATTTTTGAATCCACAGCGAATTAGAGAAAAATAACCGACGAAAGTGGCTGTGTAAACTGTTACTTATCTGCTTGATGAATGCCAAAAAAATACTCATGTTGTGTAAAATTAAACATTGGTCAGGTCAGTGTAAGCTTTATTGAAAGCAGTGCCAATTGGCTTATTATTTTGATCTTTAAACCGTTCACTTTATCAGTGAAATACGTTTATTTAAATATAGAGTATTTATAACGCAATGAAAATATTTAAACATTTACATTTACTCAACTTCCAGTTTGATCGATGTTTAGTGAAAAGTCTGCCAATTTGGCATTATTGCCTGAATTTACGAAATTAATTAATAGAAAAAGTTATTAATAAAAACTATGTATACCATCATAATAGGTATAGAAGAGGTGAGTTATGAGAGAGATTGAGTATGAGCGCAAATTTTTGAAGATTTTGGAGACAATTTCATGAAGAAAGTGCCACGAATCTTCCAAAATTGCCTGTGTGTTCAGGAAATACGAAAGTGTAGCGTTTTTGAAAATAATACATTAAACATAATCATTTCCGTTGCTTGTGCGGAAACGATCAAACAAATTTAAGAACCATCAGTTAAAAATAGCTTATTTATAGACGTGGCTTATGAGAAGAAGGCTACTATAAAATCGTGTAGCACTTAATACTAATCACATGATTAACTTTTATTAAACAATAAAAGTCATTTCATTAACTTATGGCCGGTAACATAATATTTAAAATGAAATTCAACAGCTACGTACATAAAAATTACTGCTAAACTGTCATTTAGTCCGATGCAATCAGTTGCTGTATAGACAAAATAAGATACATGCTTCCGTTACATGAAAATATTTTATGCATTGCATAAAGCTAGGCATTTTAGGGAATTGACGACTCTAGTGGCACTTAAATACGTGAGTTTCTGCAAGGAGTAAATTAGTTTTGTAATGGCATGCAACAATGATTATGGTGTACGGAAATAACCGTTCAACCCAGTTCAGTGTGATGGTTTGATAAAAATAAAAACAGCACAACGTTTAGAGATCGATGAGTTCCCTGCAAGTCGCTAAAAACAAAGAACGAAATTAATTTCTGAGTTTAGGGCTCAAACACCACTTCAAACGACCCAGTCCTTTGAAACAGACGTTCGGCTTCAAAAGGAGCGTATTTTTCTGAAATGCATGTAAGGCATAGAAAAGAGGGATTGGAATGAAACCTAAAGCCTCGGGACTGTTGAGAAATAACGTGTAAATTCTTGTTCCTTGATGTAGGTCTATTCACCATACAAAACATTTCTGAAAATCATTTCAAAAGCTTACCGGGATTTCTGCTTTTCGGACCCATACATCAAAAAAAACTCCAATTTTGTACTAATGGTTATTACTAAACATTGACGATTTTATCAAAAGATATGGGCCTTGGTGGACGTTTTTGGAAATTGTGACTAATAATCGCGGGATTACTACGATTTCGCTTTCATAGAAATAGAAATTGCATTGAATTGTTACGGATAATTTTGGAACATGAAGCAATATTTCTCTATAAAAAATAACATCAATGCATATACTGTGTGTTGAATTACGCAATGGCATTTCATTTATTTGAAATCTGCGTCAATACTGTTAGAACATAACAACCTGTCACTAGTTGAGTTGAATCATTTATTCCATTGTTTTACAGGCATGTGGTTTAATCACAACGTTTCGGCTGAAATTATCTATCTTCATGAAATGTTGAAGTCATTTTCTTATTTGTTAATACTGCGTTATAGGTATTACATTTTTCCTTTTCCCATAAACTCGTAACACTTTTTCCCTTACGTGAGTGTGCAAACCACTATTCCAGATATTTTTACGCTAATCGAATTAATTCCATACTTCATTCATTTACTCGATGAAACTGGTGAGTTTTGCTGGTTTTTAGACCGTCGTGGAGTAGAATTTCCGGTTGTTTGCTCTAAAGCCAAGCAACCTCTGAAGATGCAAATCGCTCGTGCTTGCGAAACGTTAGGACAAGACTCTAATTCACGACGGCCAAAAACCGAAAAAACTCACCAGTTTCATCGAAAAAATTGCACGGTCACTAAATTAGGTCTTTTGTAGTCGATTAGCGTAAAAACAGCACGAATAGTGGTTTGCAAACTCACGTAAAGGAAGAAGTGATATCGACGTTTATTGATATGAAAAGGAGATGTAATAACAAAAAGACGCTTTAGGATTCAAATCAATATTCACCTTATGTCGGTTGAAGAACTCATACTATCAACGAAAACGTTATGATTAAACCAAATCTCTGTAAAACAATGGAATAAATGATTCAACTCAACTGGTGACATATTCTAACGGTATTGACGAAGATTTCAAATAAACGAAATGCCATTACGTAATTTTTATCACACAGTACATGCATGGGAGCGGCGAGGGTGTTATTTTTTAGGCAAAGGTTTGCTTTATATTCAAAAGTTGGCTGGATTGGGATTTCTATTGCATCCTAGAATTAATTCGATTATTCTGAAAGAATTGAGCTAGAACTAGAATGATTGTCGGGTGCGACGATATTTGACACATTTTTATGGAATTGACAAAATGTAACATAAAAAAACGAAATGGAATACAAGGATGATCAAATGTGCGATTTTAGTTATTTCTGGATTAATTCCTTAATCAAGAAAATTGTGCTAGAATGGCCGACGGTAGAGCAAATTGAGCCAAATTTCAGCGGGGACAGTTTTTTGCATTTTTAAAACGAAATGGAATACGTACGTCATTTGGATGATTATTCATCAGTAATTGAAGCCAGGGAAACGAATGGCGCGTGCAGCTTTAACCTTTAGCTAATATTGGCTTCAGATTTATAAGTGCTTCATCAAGGCAGAGGAAACATTTTCGAAATTCAACATTGATCGCTTGTTAAGCAACTGGATTTGATGCCTCGAGCTGGATTTTATGCCGCTTCATACAGAACACGAATATATCTATTTCGGGCGACAAAAAACTAAAGCATTAAAGTTGGAACAATTTCAAGATAAATACCGGTAACTTTAAATTTGGAATGCACTAATAGAAATGGTGCAATTTGGAATAAATGGTAATACAGAGGGAATGATATATGTATATATTCAAAAATTATATCAAATATATGAACTTACCTTATCGTAGTCTAAAGTTGCTGGAGGTAATTCGCTGGAATCTTTTCGGCAGAGATAGTGGACGAAAAATCGGGCACAGTAATTGTGGTAGCAAGCATGGCAATCTATGGAACAAGAAGTAGCACATGTACAGCAGCATTTGTTGTCACAAGAACAGAGTTTGTGGTGGAATGAGAGTAAACGAGCGCAACTGTTTGAACTTGGAGATGAGGTGAGGCAAGCCTCCAAATTTAGGCCGTAAAAGAAGTCAGGATATGGAGCATTGAGACATTGAGAATCATCAGGGAGTTCGACGTCCGGCTCGTCCAAATGACCATTGACGATGCCTTCACCGTCAATCCCACTGTCCAGGGAAGAAGCCAGTTCTGATGTCCTTAACGCAGGAGTTATGGAAACCGGCCGGTTAATTTCTCGCAACATGTAATTTTCTGCATCAATATTAACCAGAGGCAGAAGCGGCGATTTTTTTGAGTCCGCTAAAACTGTCATGCGGCGATACATGTTGTTCCTCTCGGGATCAGAATCCGGCTGCGGTTGACCCTCCGTGTTGTTCACGCTCATGTTGTCATCGTCATCTGGTTTAGTTTCTGTGCACAGTCAAGTCACCTCTATGAGCCGCAACGCGCTTGTTATCACCTGGCAGCGGAACTCGGAACTGATTGCTCTGTAGTCATCGTGAGTTCTCACCACATCGCATACGAACAACTAACATCCAAGCATGCGCCAGCCGGCTTTATGTCGGCTTTTGAACAATGTTGCCGTATCTGCCGCATGATTCTTACCGGCCCGCTTACTACTGGGACACAGCAAAGGTTAACCTGATTTAGCATGCGATTTCCATTTTAACGAAGTTCGACTGGACTCGATACGAGACCATACTTCTACCACCCCATCTTGCACGAAAATGTCACCATCACCAAAAAACCTATCTCGCCAATCAGCAGCAACTGTATTGGGCCTCAATTCCTCAAAAACTAAGCCAATGGATCAGAATGGAAAATTTGCTCAGTCGCCTAATCACAGTGCAAGATGAATCAAATGGTGGTTGATTGAGCTCCTTCCAATCCATGTCGCTATATACGTAAAACCTTAACCATTCGTTCACGATGTGCCCTATGCAACAGCATCAATGGAACATCAGTTCTTCACAGATTATACTACTGCTGAAGACAAAAACCACGAACACACATCGAGACACGTACAACACGATTAAACGTTAATATTAAGTTGATTCAAAAATGTTCCTCGCCCAGAAGTAGAAGGGTGCTTTTGTGTGGAAGGTGCGATAAGAGCGGCGATACCAGCGCTGCGAAGAAGCATTCAGATTCGCTTTTGACCCGCTTAAGTTGATGCTACGTGGCGAATCACGCTTAGTAACCGATCAACGATAAGGGGTCGCTAATTCGATGCTCTTATCGCTTATCGCAGCTTGAATATAAATACACCGTTAGAGATCATTTGAATAATACAAAAAATATATTAAAACGATCCAGCAGCATCAAAATGTATAATTTAACTCTCATATTGGCTGGACCTACGACCTGCCTCACTCTGTATATTTACCGCATCAATACCCACAGTCAACGATTCCACGCCATGTAATTATCACGTCATATTGTTCTGAGATTCGTACATGTGACTCCTGGTCCTAGTTTCGACCTAAGTTTTCAAGCTTAACTGGAGCGGTTAATGGAAAACTCATTATACACGAACAGTTTGCAGACATTATTTAGGTACTATATAGCGTATAGAAATAAATATTTGTAAAACATTACGATTTCGATGATTAATTCTCGTACGTTTCGTTTTGGGCCCACCATCATCAATATGTTTGACATTTGTTTAAAAATTCTAGTAATGTCACATCAGGTGTCATCACGTGTGCGCGATATGCAATTTTGTTTTTTTGTAAATTTTGTAAACGCGGTTTGCATATACTCACCTTATAGAAATGCGTTATGCAACAACTGTTCTTAGTGCTGTTTTTTGCGCAAATGCTGTTTTTGACCACTTCTCACTTGTTGAAATTCACTACTTTTCCATAAGGCAACAAAGAACCAAGGAAGTTCAAAAATCACTACTTTAGAACATGTCAAATTTCTATTGGCGAATTCCCATTTTGGAGGAAAAAGCGGCCTAAAATTATTTAAAATAAAAAAAAACAGTTAAAGACAACCAAAATTTATCCGAGCTCCAACAAAACGCTTTTACCAAAAAATGTAAATTTAGCAAATGCCCGAAACTTTTCCGAACTGCGTTACTGTGACAACGGTTTGACAGACAGCAGGAACATCTTTCCCAAAAGTAGCAAATTTCAATCAGTTAAAACCGGTCGAAAACCGCCTTTTTGCAAAAAAAGACACAAAGAAACGTTGTTTTTTTGAAAGCTCATTTCTATAAGGTGAGCATATGCAAACCGCGCACGTAAGGTCCTGATGTTCATAATAATTACCCATTTTTGCCAAATGTTGGCCGCTTCTTTGCAATATTATTTTTAACATCTCATTATTAAAAACTGTGGTACCTAATTTAAAATTAATTGTTTTTGATCTCGTACTTGATGTTAATTAAGTGCTATTAGGTCCTACTCTAAAATATGAAAGAAATGATTTTAAATCAAATTCGTATTTACAGTTTTTGATAACAGAAAGAAACGGCTAAAAGAAAAAAATAAGGGCGAAAAACAAAACACGGAATTCCAAATCTGATAGTATAATCGTGTAGAAAATAGTGTTCTAATAAGGTGACAAATTACTTGAAAATATCTCTCCCAATAAGGATCGGGAAAAAGTGAAATGGGGCAACTTTGCCCAAAATTCACGTTTTTCATATGTACCTAATTTGACTAGTAAAACGTCTAGGTGATTATCACGTTTGATGCTGAGTTTGAGACTGATATATTGGCTGGAAACGCTTAATTGAAATAGTTCTGAGAAGTTTAGGCAATAAATTCGTACATTTAAACTACCCGTTCAAATGTTTCTTTCTTACAACATTAATTAATCAAAACCCACTATTGGTATTTACTTAATTCCAGAGAAACGAAGGGTAAAGAAACTTCAGTAAAGGAACTTTTCAATCCAGCCCTAACGCCCCCTTAAGAAACAAATAAGAAAGTTTTCGGAAGCGGCTCTAATCAAACAATATTAAGTTTGCACGATAGAGAACGGCACAAATTGGGACACATACGATAAAGGTGTTTGATATAATTTTAAGGGAATGAGTTCAGCTCTCGCTCTATCGCCGACGGGATTGTTAAGTTGAAGAGACAAGTTAAGGACGAGTAAAACGAATAAAGCTCGGGGGCTAAAAACCACAGAGCTTGCAGTCAGCTGGCAACTACGGGGGACGAATTCACATAGAGCCGTATCCACACCCTTCCAACATTTAGTTCGCCCTTTGTTTCTGGCAAAGCAGCTAAAATGGAGTAGAACCTATTTCAACAATGTGAAAATTATAAAGCTGCGTTGCCAATTGGCCTTTAGTTGCACATTCCAGAACGAGGAAGTTAATAACATTTCTGCTAAAACAATATTCCTCTTTAATCTAGCAGTAGATAATCGCATGAATGAGCAATAAAAGGAGATATTTCTGAGTGATAAAATGTCGACTAAATCAGTTCAACAGGAACAAACTAGTTCTAAAAATACAGTCTGCCATCTTTACGCAAAATCAATTTCTGCTGCACCAGTATAAAACATTAATACATTTGCGAGGCGGAAAATTATAGGTTAATAAAAAGGCACTATCGATATAAGTTAACGAGTTAAAAATATTGCAACTTGGAAAATTTACGGGTTATTTTGACTAGTCAGTTGCTGCAAAAGCTATGCAACATTAAATCAATTGTTTGCAGCTGAACTGCGAGAATATTAACTGGTGTTTTGTAAAAAAGCACGATCGTTCTGAACAGTAATATGCCAACAAAATAAACTTTTATCGGCAATTGAAATCCGAAGGGTTATTTTGAAAAACTATTTTCGGAAAACCTATTAACTGCGTTGACTTTGAAAATAATTGTCAGTAGCTATTTCGGCATTTCCGTCTTAACATAAAACGTTTTTTTAACAACGAGCTTGATGCGGTTAGTCTAAACACACTATTAAAACCTAAAGAAATAATCAGTTTGAACGCATTTCGGGTAAGGGAGTTTTCGACATTACATCACACACAGCCACTCTGGAAAGACAGTCTCTCGTGATTTTACGAATGATTGGCAACAGATAAATGACTTTTCATCTGTAGCCAGTCAAAATTGCTCAAACAAGCAATTAACTTTTCATATGTAGTTGTTTACTCGAATAATGAACTCTTTTATGCGGTGTTAAATAATATAAATCCAATCAACCCATCTCATATCCGAGCAGGGTCATTAAATAATACAGTGGCAATTCAATAGAGTCCTATAATTTGACGCAATATAAAATGTTTATGCTTAAAGTTAGATCATTTAACGTCCTATTAAATAGACGCAAAAAAGTAATGTAATTATATCTTTGGTGCACGCGATTGCAGCTAAAAATATTTCTCTCCACTAACCGTTTCGAATTCAGTCGGTCAAACACGTGGAAGGAATCCATACAACTTCCGCATGGAATGAATACATGCAATGGAGATTGGAAATCCTTTCAGCTCGGGTACATGGAAAACGAACTGAGGCGAGCTTTCCAGTAGATTTTGGTAGTTAACAGCTAGTATTCAAATTGATTTAATTAATAAATCACTAGTATAGAAACTGTATGTGCGTTTGGTTCAATTTCACACGCAATCGTCCAACTTCCAGTAGATCCTGTATAGCGTTGAACTATCAGTATGAATGCATTTATCGGACATCAGTCGTTGTAATTGGGAAAATATGTATAGAAGGAAAATTTTGAAAAATATCTTGAAACAAAATTAAGCGAAGCAACAAAAGAAACTAAATGAACAGTAAAATGTAAACTAATTTAAAATTTTCCTTCTCACTATTTCTTCATTTGCTTCATTTTCCAACTATAATATTACATCTGCATATTTTGTTATTAGCTTAAATCCTAGCCACTTTAATTCCTAATCAGCTTGATTGAATTTCAATACAAAAAACGCGCATTACTTGAATGGACTATTACTTTTAATGGTATTAATCCGCTACTAAAACTGATTGACGTTTCGAAATTAATATTATAAAATATAAATACATTTATACTTTGGCAATAAAAAACTGTATATTGAATACAATTTAAATTAAGTTCTGGAATATTATAGCTTATTGAACAATGGTATAATGGTGTAGTTATCAGTTACACTGAGTGACTATTGTTTTACTTTATTACACGGACCAATTTTTTTAATAATTCCAGATAACAATTGTTTCTTACATCGGATGTTTATTGGAGAAATATGATGTTGAAATCACAAAGATTTATGTACATGATTTTATTAATTTGAAACTAACAACAGTGTTAGTTTTTCTGTAAGTAGTTTTATGAAAAGAACACTTTGGGTGTTGGCTGAAATATAAATCGATAGTCAGGGCATCGACTAAAATGTGTCAGAATTAAGTGAAAACGAAATAAAAATCTTGACACATAATCAATCTTGTATAACCATTAACTTGTTAGCATCATAATTGAGTGGTAACGCGTTCTAATGTACAATTTTCCGGAGCTTGAGAATAACGTCAATATACTAAATGTTAAAAATTTTATTCTATTTCACACTCGGTTGAATCTATGTGCAAGCTAAATGGGCATAACATTATATTGAAGGATTAATCATTAAATCCCATTATCATGTAATTGCTGAATTGCTTTCATGATTGTACTTACATATTGTATTTATTTATCTAATTTTCAAATTACTCAGTTCAGACTCTAATCAGAAAAGCTAATAGTCAAACTTGAGGCAATCCAATAGCGAAATTGAAAAATCAAATATGCTTTCAAGTCAATTAGGACAAGTTAATGAATGAATAACTTATTTGAAAAGAAAACTAAGCTAAACTTCACAAAGATGTTTGATATATTACGGACACAGATTTAATCGCTGAACATTAGAATGTGGACCGTCTTCTACCAAGGC